CAGTTCTGTTCCCAAGTGAGTATTAGCTCGTTTCAAAGTGTTCAAAGTTTAGATTTCTCTGGAGAAAACGAGCATGAACGAACAACAATTATTAATGTATATTATGGTAAACTATATGTGATTATAGACTTTATGTGTGAAAGGGATGATATATCAGTATATTTGACCTCATAAACCCATAGTTTTACATCAATATTTTATCATAACATTGATTGCTGTATCGGCAGTGCCATAAACGCCAATTAGGAATTCAATCGGTGTCAAGGTATGAATCTATGATGACTTCAAATTAAAAACACGTGCTTTTCGAAAGGCTTATTGTAAACTTTAAGTTATTTCAACAGCAGATATTTAATTACTTGTTTGTATTGTCTAAAGCGGAAAGTTTTTACTTTTACAGTGTTTTGTCATAATTTTAAGCCGCAAGAACATAAAAACAATCATCTCTCTTGATCGTCGTAAACAGTTCCCTGTAAGACTATGTAATATGTACAAAACCTTCAATGAAAATAATGATGCAGGTGGTTTAGTGCTGGAATGCAAATAACCCGAGCGATGCAATTTAATATCTAATCCACGGTCCAAATAGAAACCAAGACATCATTCTCGTAAATTTCCTTTAAGGAAAAGGGCAAAATAAAGTGAGTGTATGTTTATAGACTAGATAAAAAATCTTTTGACATTGTATTATACCCAATTCTTTTTGATTAAAACTAGACGACCGCGCACTCGAGGGCATGATTGACCAATTATTGCGGAATCAATTGCCGTACATAAAACAGGTACACCAATTTAAAGTATCGCTTTGTGACACGGCTCTTGCATTTTAGGAATACCCCAAGGTAACATTATCGGTCCAACAGCTTTTTCAAAGTCAAAGTCAACATATTTTTGGCCGTTCATGTCTTATAGATATTTAAATTGAAAAAAGGTAGGAGTCCAATGTTAAGATTGAAGGTAACTATGTTATGTAACTTAAAATATAAAATTTAGACGCAATACGAAGGTAGGCCGAACCTTTCATACTTGAACTTGAAAGGTTGACTGCGCGCCCTGACTGAGGGTCACAAAAAATTCAATTAAATGGAGACAGCAGGCCTTTAGAGGCCAACTACAAGATGCCACTGTAAAATAAAAATTCAATTTTAAACTTAACAAAATCCTTGCCTGTAATCAAAAAATAATTTATTAAAATTCTCGAATGTTTTGAAAGTCCTTAAATTAAAGAGATATACGCACATTAAGCACCTTCACCCATTTAATCTGTTCGCTTTATTTATTATATAAAAGGCTGGCTTTGTTTTACTATTACATAACCTCGATGTATGTAGATAAAGCAAGTTACATGTCTGTTTTAATTATCATTATTCCAACGTTCGACGACCGTCGAAGTGTCTGGTGTTTACTACAAAACTAAAATTTCGTTCTTCATTTACGACCAACAAATTGCAGCACTATTCTTAGAAATATGTAATCAAATAAGTAAATTAGGTAAACAAATATTTAGAATAAAAAAGTCAGCAGAAGACATCTTGGGGCTGATGATAATAATGATGATGAAGGGAACCGTGATGAAAACCCTTCAAAATCAATACACGAGCAAAATTTTATTCCGAATATCTACATCACCATTTTGTTTGTTTCAGATTCCATGGTGCGTGTTGGTGTAATTGATATTAGTTCTTTAAGAAGCTAGGACGGTGTACTTCTTACGTTTCAAAATGACGAAGTCACTCAAAATGGGATACATTACTAAGGGAGGTTCACAGCAGAATAGAAATGTGAAACGTAAGTATATACGAAATTTTTTTTTATGGTATTGGAGGCAAACTTGCAGCCAGAACACCTGATGGTAAGTGACCAGCGCCGCCCATGAACACATGCGGCACAAGTGGAGGAACAGGCGCGTTGCTAGCCTTTAAAATAGGAGTACGCACGTCAATTGGGTCAAAATTTAATTATTTTAAATAAAAAAAATTCAAATTGGTCTATGAAATAACGCAACAAATAAGCACTCGGATCAAATGATAGTAAGCAATCTGGAACAGATACAAGTGCATTGCCCGACTTTTTGTCTCATATATAAATGAGTAGTATGATTAGTATAGTATTTTAATTATTTCATAATTTACAATAATATAAATAAAAAATATTATGTGATGCCAAATCGTACACATTTTATTTATATACGTGTTGTCTAAGCTTTCGTAAAATCTATTTTATTTTTCTTAATTGTCCATTGTTTTATGAATAGTTCTCGAATGTACTGTTGTTATTTCAGTTCAGCTGTTCGTGACCTTGATGCTAGGAGTGACCTGCCTTTCCGTGGTACTCTGCACGATACTCGTGGACCCTATACGTATCATTTCTATTTATGTGAGTACTTATTATCATAACATTTGTCTCCATACCTACTCCTGCTGTGGCCATTCTTGTGGTAAGCAATCAGAGCCGTTCATAGTCGCCTGCACCCCCCCACGTTTGCAAGTTCGTTACCGGCTTTTTAGCGGTAAAATTGGGGACGGGATGAAGCTTTGGGCCTCCGAAAATCAACGACGGCGACGCTGCGACGGATCACAACAAGTTTGTTTCCAGTTTTCTATGAAAAATAAACCAGTATGTTGTAACCTGTAGTACATATATTATATTATATTAAAGTATACATTAGTACAAGTACAAGTATATAATAGCTTTTCTTCAAGTACAAAAGAAATATGTATTATATGCAAAGATTGTAATCAACTTGCGTCAGAGTTCAGATAAAATTTTCTTTTTTGAATTCTACATCTACTTGTTCCTCAATGACAGCGTTAAGGCATCAACGTCTTAAGATATAGGCTCTGACGTCATAACCAATGAGTATAGGATTTTAAATCCGGTCAAGTGTGAGTAGGAATCCTATATGAAAGATTATATGTATATTATATATATATTATATATATATATATATATATATATAAGTTCGTCAAAGTAAATTTGCTTTAATTTTAGTAATATTGCTGTTATATACTAATTGATTAATAATTTAGTTAAGCATTTTTTGAAGTAACGGACAGCAAGCCGACACTGTTATCTCAAGGACACTGAGAGTTAAATCGGAAAAGACGCAAATCAGTTTCTGGCCTTTTTGGGATTAAGGATTTGAGGTGTCGGAGATATGGGAACAGGCACAATAAAAAAAACAATGTGGTTGTTTCACGCCGCTTATCTATGAGGTCGTGGTATCACTATAGTCGAGCCGGCAAATTCGAGTCGAAAACAGCTCTCCCACACTTAAAATTTATAAGAACATAGCTATATAAATATTTTAAAAATAACATGATTCTATTATATATTAATTTAATGAACTTAAAATTAAAAAAATATACATTTTGTAGCGCGGATTCTTAACAATACTCATTCTCATTGACGTCATCAAAACAAAAAAAAATAGAAAAACGGCTAATGTCAGTGTACAAAACAGGATCCAAGGAACAAACAATTCTGTAATTAGTTTATTCATTGGTGAAGAGTATAATATGTACACTCGAACTTTTTTATGTGATACCTATGTCGTGACTGACGGCGCCGGCCATGGACACCCGCAGTACCAAAGAAATTGTGAATGTCTAGTCGGCCTGTTGGGGTTTAGGGTTTCGGAGATTTAAGGACGGAAGGAAAGTGGAGGGGAAGGAAACACTGACACTAAGCCTAATCCTTCCCCTCCCTAATCCCAAAAGGTTGGCAACGCACTCGTAACTCCACCGTTGTTGCGGGTGTCCATGGGCGGCACAGTTTGCTTACCATCGGGTAATTAGTCTGTTCGTTTGCCGTCCTATCACATAAAAAATACGACTACTTCAACAGTGCAGTTCAATTGCTTGGTAAGAACTCTTTGTGTGATCCACAAACTGTTGTTCCGGGGCTGGCTGTCAAGCTTGTGTTTGTGACATTGTAAGTTTGTAAACGCACCCACGATATAAGAAAAAATCATCGACTGGGGCAACGTTTTTTAAAAAGAAAATAGGAGTAGGTAGTATTTTAATTCGTAACATCAGAATGCCCAGTTCAAGTTATTTTAGAATTTTTCATTATAACCGTGTTTAGTTTTGATTGGCTGTTTTACTTGGAACAGACCAATCAGAGCGAAGAGAAAATATGCAGTAGGTGTTGTAGAATATGACAATAAATCACCCCTTACTTACACAACTGGATACTACATGTATTTATGTGCATCTGCAGTCGCAATTGGATTGAATAGTATGACATAATGATACACAAGTTCAAGGGTTAACGATATTTAATATTTATTTCTACAATAAATTACAATTATCTACAGTTTGAGATCGTCAATCCGCCTTGAGCAAGCGTATTGATTTATGCTCAAACCTTATCCGTGTGACAAGAGGCCTTTGCTTAGTAGTAAGCACTTGTACGCTGATGATATGATGTGTAAATATTAAGAACTAATACTTAATCTTACTTGTTATCATTTGCAATATTATCACCTTTTAATAATAAAGAGAGCAATTTTTGTGAATTTGTAATGTAGAGAAAACTAAAAACCGCTGGTTACTCACGTGTGTAAATTGAGAAAAGCTCTACTAGTTTCGAACCACAGAAGGGTTCGATGGCGATGTCGAGCAGCCTACTCTACATCCTACTCCGCGTCCGCGCACGCTGGCTCATGAGGAAGAACCCCTCTGTGGTTGGTGGTGGTCGAAACTAGTAGAGCTTTTCTCAATTTACACACGTGTGTAACCCGCGATTTTTAGTTATTTTAGTATGTCTCATGATAGTTATTATAAGAAATAGAGAATAATTGTCTCCAAAACTATTAAGTGATTTAAAAAAATCTCTGTTTCACACTATAATGATATCCAACACCAAAATCTGAGAAAACCACATATTGATACACACCCCATTTCATCGCCTGCACTTGTTTAAAATTGGACATTAAAACAGATTCTTTTGTAATAATTCCTTCCCTTATAGTAATTCTCATGATGACTAGGCCACTGATGGTTCTCTCTGCTCCTCAGTACGCCCGTGTAGGCCCAGGCACCCTGCTGGACGAGGCGCTGAAGAAGGAAACCGACAGCATCCACCTTTCTGCCTACCTCTTCAACATCACCAACGCTGACCGGTTCGCCAGCGGAGAAGATGACAAGCTGAAGATGGAAGAAGTTGGGCCTTTTACTTACCAGTAAGTCACTTCAAACATAATATTTTTTTACTGGGAAAGGCTACCACAACCTTCTTAAACTGCTGCTAATCCTGTATTAACAATGAAAACACACCAAAAGACATCTCAAAAACATTAATAACAATTGGCTGTTACATCGCTTGAATCCATATACAAAACTGGCTATTCTATAAGTAAGGATAACTGAATAACTCAAAGACTTGATCCGATTTCTCTATACGAATGCACATCTTAGAAAAAGATTGTCTGTAGGTATCTTCTTTTTTTAAGCCTTTTTCTACCACTGGTATCTTTCAGTTCATGTCTTGTGTCTCTTTCGGTTGGTAAATAAAATTAAATTATTGCACGATGCTTCTTGTAACTTGTCCTTGAACTTCTACTTAACAATATTTCGATCATCATTATAATATTAGGGTAAACAATAGATCAAGGAAAACGATACAAGTAAAAATAAAAATGAATCAATATACATTTTTCTAGAAATGTCGTGTGTAAAATCAATAAATTGTTCAGGAATTACTTACAATGTGTATAATTGTTGTTAATTACATCTCCTTGTCATCTTCCTATCACTTTCAACTATAATTATGATTTAATCTAGCTATCTATTGTAACACTGGTAATACCTAATTAGAAATGACCCTTAATGTCCTCATTAATCAATTACAGTTCACAAAGATTTTGTAAGCAATACAATGAGGAGCTTGACACGCAACTCTCTAAGTTTTAAACTTAATGCCAAACAGTGCTAGAATTAATTATACTAATTTGTTTAATCTTTACACTCTAAACATAGTGGTGTCTTAATGTTCATTTTACATTAAGTGATTTAAAACAAAAGAAAATAAATAATACGGCAGATTCCAACTAGTCAAATTTCACTTATTACAAATATTTATCCAAAACGATACTGTCTATTACTTAAAAAAATAAAAATTATTAGAATATTTTGTGTATCGACAGATCGATAAATAAAAGTAAGTATGGTTATTTTTCTGTTATGTGGTGGTTCTATGGTGTGTTCTGTATTGAAAGTCGAAATAATTTATTTTTGACCTAGGATGCTACTCAATTCCAAAACAATACATTACTTAAAATTCTCCATTCTAATTAAGTATCATTAATTTTGGATTAAGTATGTATGTTTGTTTAGATATCTCATACTTAAACTACTTGAAACTAAAAGCAAATTAACAAAGTAAAGTGTACGCAATAACGGAAATTGTCCTTATCCATAAAATATAATTAAAATCTTTTATTACCCAACAACTTAGTTCTATCGCACTCTATGTACTTACAACATAATTTAATTATGTTACTAGGTATAAGTAATTAAATACATTGTAATTAATTTACGATGAACATTGAATGATAATCCTGGTCTATAAGGAACTGCTGAACCCGTATTAATACTAGAAATTGAATGTTCGTTTAATTTGTTTATCTTCAATAATGGGCATTATTTTATGAAAAGATTCTTAGCATTGTAGGTATTAATGTTCCACAAATGTATGGTAGGTATTTATTTATTTTTAGGTAGGTATTTCATTTACATTATCACCGTGCAGTCAAAAACAGAATCCTATTATTTAGCATTACGTACGTAATTAACTCTAATCTCTTTGTACGAATATATAAACACGACAAAAAAAAATTTTTAAAACTTCTATTTGACGTTTTACTGAGAAAATTATAGTAAAAAAAAGTTTCTAGCTCGTTTTTCTCCATCACATCACATCGTCAGATTATAAGTGCCCACTGCTGGGCAAAGGTCTCTTCTCTCACGGAGAGCATTAATCACCACGCTTTCTCAAGGCTAATTGGCGACTACAAACTTGTAATTAGAAACTATAAGGCCAGGTTTCCACATGTTTCACGTTGTTTTCGTTCACCGTTTGTCAGTGGTGACTAAATAATCATAGTAAGTACATATAACTCGGTTGGTACTTGCCAGGTTTCGACCCTTAACCCTCTGGGCCACTACGACGTTCTTCTCCATACGAATCTACATTTTGGAATGAACACCCAGCTTTACTGACGAACAGATTTACTGAGAAATTCTGTGTTGACGATTGTGATTTACCTTGACTTTGTAGACGTCGTCATGACCTACTCGATCAATGGCCATCAGGATCTAGTCATCAAACAAATCAGGACGCAGGATAAGCCATAATCGTAAAGTAACCATTAATGTTACAAAATTACGTTTACAATTGAACATAATCGTTTGTAATAGACGCTAATTGATCTGTAGCATCTAGGCCTAGGCATTGGTCATAAACCTGCAAGTTGATCGAGATTTCTAATTGCATATATGTATGTCAAGTTTTCATCTGGTGTCATACCGACTGCATTTTTTGTAAATTGATATGTCGTGGGTCCAATTATGGTGTTTCAATTTACATTGTACAAAACCACATTGTACCATTTAGTCAAAACCTTATTTTACTAATAGAGGGCCAACTTACAAAGTTTAAAGCTTAGAATATTAGTAGGATTAATTATTATTAATTACTGATTCGAAAATTATTCCAGAAAGAAAGAAAGAAAAACCATTTATTTGTAATATTATAGGAAGCAAGAAGTAATCATTACAGGAAAAAAAAACTTCTACAGCTCTGCTTTATCTAACTTCCTGTATGATCCTGTACTTATGTAGGTATGCACGACTTTATATTAAAAGTGTTTTTATTATTTTTAATTGTAAATTGTTTTTCTGTTATAAAACTGAGACATTACTGATCGTTTTAGAAAATCAAGGTAGATTGTTCTGCTAGCGACTGCACCTCATTAATTCAACGTACGTTCTCCGAGTGACCGCATTGGGTTCAAGTCCAGTCAACAAATCATGGATCATTGTGTAACAACAAACATTTCACATTTATATGTAGCAGCGGTCGCTTGGTGATCGAAACTTGCCCGTATTTTACTTACTTTTTATTTCATTGTTATTTTTTGAATATAATATCAAATAATTTAGTATTTTAATTGTCGTGCCGTATCGTACTTACATACCTAATTAACTGCTTAACTTATAAATGATTATAAACGATTTTATATTCGATCATTTTATTTTCAATTTTCGATTATCAGTTTTTGTTAATTTGTATGCTTAGTAAATGTTAATCGTTATTTTGTCTATTTGCATTTTTAAACAAAATATTACAATCGTATTTTCAAGGGAGAACCGCACAAATGATGATATGGAGATAGACATGGAGGCGGGGGTGGTGCGGTACACGCCGCGACACAGGGTCAGCTTCCTGCCTGAGGAGTCTATCGGAAGACCAGAGGATATGATGCTCACTGTACCTAACATTGCTATGTTGGTAAGTGCAAGTTCTTATATAATTACTTTTTTTACTTTTTCATGGTCAAATATAGTGATAGACAGGTCTGTAACTAACACTATAAATATGAAATCATATAAAAACAGTAACAAAAGATGGTGCAAAAAATGTGTTAAAATATGCGTTATGGCTAAAATGAGGTGTCAATGGTATGGCAATTAACACCCTAAAAACACAAGATAGCATTTTTTAAGAATTATTTTTGAAGGACTCTCAATACGCCTGTCGTATTATGTCGAGCAATACGAGGTTTGGGAGAGATGTGTATGTGAAATTGTGTGTTTGTAAAAGCATCCAAGACACAGGAGAAAAACACAGTGAACGTTCTAAAATAATAGAAAAATATGTTGCATGCGTAGGCTATATCAGTAATTGCTTTCCATGACAAGAAACATACGATTTCAAGAGTTTGGGAATATAAAAATCAGTAAAGTTTATCAATTTAGTTGTATTTGCATCGCTCAATTAATCAGTACAAGAGAACGTAAACAGTAAACTACAATGAGATCGATGTAATAAATATATTATAATTAGTGCTGTTTTTATGAAATCGTTTACCAAAGGAGCATATGGATTACCTGATAGCAAGCATAGACGACGCCGAGGCGTCGTCTATGGGCGTCTGGAACACAAAGAAAGTTGCAAGTAGGCACCTTTATGATTATGAGCAAATAAGTGATTAGGGTTGGGGGATTGGTCTTTTAGAATGATGAATTTTACCTCTAATTACAGTTATTATGGTAGTGTGTCCAAATTTTTTTTTTCTATTGTTTCCTCAATTGCTTACAAAGTTAGAAGAAACAATATTCAAATCCATAATATATTATGTTTTCGTGATCGACTCTATTCTATTTACAGTTGCTAGGCAACAGTGATACATTCCAGAGCAGGTGTTAAATAACTAAATAAATGATTAAACAAACCAATTTACCTAACAATTATACTATGAATGTTGAGTCTCAACACATATATATGTGTTGAGACTCAAATATAATAATATAATGATATCTAAATAATTCTACAAATATGACTGGACTCTGTTATTGACATTATTTTGGATTATGATACAAAAGTCACTTTGCAGCGCAAATATAAGTACTACGTTGTTATTAGGTACCTACGTTTGCTAAGTTGCGTAGGGAATTTCAGCTACGTTAACTACGGCGTAGCACGTGTCTAGTTCGCTACGAAAAATAACTATTACTACGGGTCTAGACTAAAGGCATGAACGTAATAGTTGAAAAATATTATTTAATTAAGTAGTAGGTACGCTTTAAATATTAAACAAATCACGAGAAAATACTTTGGAGGAGTTTGGAGGTATGATGATGATCACGTCGGGGTCACCAGTTTAGGGGTATGAGGAACTGGGTGGAAAGTTCTTCATCCTCCATTGAAAAGGGAGGATCCTCCGACCAGGCGAGGTGTTCGTGCCTGGTGGGCTACTGTCCGACGGTCGTAGTCGGGATTTTTGTATCAGTGCTAATTGCGTTGTAAACTCTTATAGCGCGATGTAGAAACTTGTACGTGATTGGTGCTGTTGTCAATGTTGTACGATAGATGTCGCTACAATACAATATTTTTCCCACAGTAAAAGTTATAAAATACATAATTTTAAGGCAAGTTGAAGTTCTAACATGGTGTATATGAATACTTACTATTAAAATTGTTTCTTCCAGAGCATGGCATCAGGAGTCTCCAGTTACGGATATTTCGCGAAAATGGCGTTTAACATGCTGACATCTCGGCTGGGAAGTGAACCCACTGTCAATTTATCTGCCCACGACTTCTTGTGGGGTTACAACGAGCCCCTGATCACCTTAGGGAACAGCATCCTGCCTGGATGGATCAATTTTGACACCTTGGGTGTTTTGGACAGGGTGAGTTACTTTTTGTGACATACCTAATAAAGAGAACTCTTAGGAAACCTTTGCCTATAATGATAGTAGTTAGCTTGGTTGCATCGTGTATTATTTATTTTTTACTAGCTTCTTACGCTTTGGTTTTCGCTCGCTGCTCGGCTCCTAAAAACCGTAGCCTGATGTTTTATAGCCTAAAGACTTCATCGACAAATGAACTAACAAGCACAAAAATAACTATTCAGTTCTAACCAATCGTTCTGAATATTAACGCGTTCAAAAAACAAACAAACTCTCCAGCTTTATAACATTACTAGAGATTGTATCAAGTCTTGCATGGCTATCACTTTTTATAGCTACTAATAGAATACGAAGGTCCGTACTAATATCTCTTAATTTTACAATTTTTTTTTCAGACTGATTTCTACTTTACCTTACTCCTTACATTTATTTCTTAGTCATTATACATATAGTTCGTCACACAATCCATCTTTATTTAAAAAAAAAACGTTGGCCCACATTAGGGTTTTCTCCTGTGTCGTGGGTGCGTTTAATAATACTAATGTATTCATTGTATTTCAATTCCAGCTGTACGATGAGAAGGCGCCTCTCAGGGTGGAAGTGAGTGCGCATACCAACGACAAATTCATGATCAAGTCAGTTAATGGTGTCAGCGGGCTGCCGAACTGGGGATATCCGGATACAAAGTAAATTAATCTCCACATTACACGTTCATACACAAAAAAAATAATTTGATAAACCAGAAAGATTTGACTTGTAGCTTAAGACCAATATGCCAAAACTTCCCGATTTTGAAACCTGTTCAAATTTCAAATCGTTCAAGATTCTAAGGGGATATTGTTAGCATTATTGTTCATGTCAATTAGTCAAAATTTTCTGAGTGCAACAAATAGGTACATGTTTCTTTTCTTTATCCCAAGGTCATCATGCAACAGTTTCAACAACAGCTACGAAGGCATCATCTACCCTCCAGATATATCTGCGGAAAGACCTCTGAAGATCTACCGCAATGTTCTTTGTCGATTCATGGAGCTGGAGTACGTGGAGAAGAAGGTCACAGACTATGGAGCTACTGGCATGAGCTTCCAAATTACGAACAACAGTTACAGCAAGATCCCTGAGAATGAGTGCCTCTGTGCCAAGGGGATCTGTCATGATGGAATATCTGATCTGTCTCCTTGTTTCTATGGTGAGTTTTAAGTTGTGCTGTTGAAAATTAACTTTTAAAATTGTTAAAATAGCTTGTTGAACAGACTCATTTATTGGTTCGCAGATAGTAGGTATTATTACTTGTACTATTTGATTTACTTAAATATCGTAGGTAGTTCTGTTCAAATGGGGATAGTGTTCCTTTTCAATTTCAGAAGTAGCTAAAGATATAGTTGTTCATATTTACAAAATATTGGTTTCAATTGGTTGTCAATTCCTTACAGTAGGCTTAGTGAAACAACTTAGACTAGAATATAAGACGTGTTTAATAAATTGTATTTTATTTCCAGGTCTTCCTGTAGTTTTATCAAACGCTCACTTCATGGATTCGAGCCCGCTTCTGTACGAACGCATTGAGGGTATGAAACCTAATAAGGAGCAACATGGCAGCGAATTTATGATAGATCCTGTGAGTTATTTTATATATTGTTATCCTTGGTTCGGTAGCAGCTTTTTTATGCCGTCGTTCCAGGACAGCCAATGAGCAACCCGATTACCTGATAGTAAGCAATCAGCGCCGTCCATGGACACCCGCAAGAACGATAGAGTTATGAGTGGGTTGCCGACCTTTTGGGTATTTAGGGATTGGGGAAATATTGGGTCTTCGGTTAAAAAACCCACTCACACTACGAGTTGGACAACGTTCTGGTTGTTTCACGCCAGTTGTCTGTGAGGCCGTGTTATGACTCCGGTTGAGCCGAGCCTTTCGTGCCGAAGCATATGTCTCCCACACATAAATACACCTTGCACATCTTAAAGGGAGTTTTTGTTTTTTTGAAGAAGAATTTTGCTTTAGTTTACCGTTGACCGAGCAGTATCAGCGTAGGGTATATGACTATATATGCTATCACACTATGCCCGATATTACTCTGGACTGTGCAGAGTGCACAGCAGTGTTGTACAGCGAGGTGATGAACACTATAACTCCAACGACAACACCAGTAAAACAAAAGTTATAGATAAATGGTCTTCTAATAATTTATGCCTCTGTCTTCCAGATCATCGGCCTGGTGATGGCGACGAAGTTCTCTGTGCAGGTGAACGTGATGCTGCGTGACGTTAGCTTCAACGCCAAGCTCACCAAGTATTCTGACATGTTCGTGCCAATAGTCAATATCAAAATTGTGAGTACCTATTTATTTGTTATTATGTCACTATAACTGCACATGATAGATTTTTTACATGTTCCAAATAATAAGGGCAAAATAATGGTCACAATAAGGGCTTTACAGTTTTAAGAGAAGACTCTCAGTGACCTTATTTTGACCTTATACATCCCCAAAGATTGTTAATGACTACAATAATGAAAATTCACATTTCACAAGGTACAACAAGCACGAATCAATAACGAAAACTTAGTACAATAGCTATGCAAAAGGCTCAGTTAAGATTCGCTGACACGAAACTTTATCACTAGAACTAGACCTCATGATGAGGACATGTTACATTAGGTTGTATTTAATTAATTTTTGTTTTTGTCAGATCCAACCAAAACTAGCTGACGATCAAGTCGCAACGCTTCGATTAATGCACGTCTACGCGCCATATATAGTGTTAGGCGTCCAAACAATCTTGCTTCTAACTGGACTCCTTCTTCTATCACATTCTGCAAGACTCCTCTACTGGAACTGGCTATCTTCTAGAAGAAAAGGCATAGGATTCACTTGTGAAAGGATAAACGTGAAAGAAACTTTGAGTACTGAGCCACTTATGAACAGATAACATTTTAGAATAGCGCCATCTGTTAGAAGTTCTAATAACACTGACAGCTTTTATGAAAATAGTGAAATATTGTGTATACAATGTTATTATGCTCAAGAAATAGCGATCATGTAGCTTGAGGTCCATACAGTTTAAAATCTGTATCTGTTTATTATTCATGGTCCATTGGTGAACTTACCTTAAAAAAGTACTCTATTTGACAAACAAGACGTTTCACTACTATTCCGTTAAGCGACATCTGTTGAGCAAAAATGATAACATTGAGTGACGCTCTCTTACACACATTCTACATCGTTTACCTATGAGAATGATTGTATACAGGAAGCTCAGAATAAAATAAATTGACGCCTTTCCCTGCTTATTGCAATATAGATATTATTATATAAGTAAGATAAAAGCCTGGCTGTAACCTAAGACTGTAAATAGTTATGTATAAGAAAGAAAATGGAGATGGGTTATGGTAAATAACTAAGGGTTGATTTTTCAATGGTGTTAGATAAAAGTTACCTGGGAAATAATTATGATGCTGTCGCGTCACAATGTTTGTATAAGACAGTGACAGCAACAATTTTATTCCTCAGATAACATTTATCTGACAATCAAAAATCAGCCCTAAATCCATGATGGTGACAGGTATTAAAATAAGTAAACATTGACTGTGTCTGTATTAATGTGTGTATTTGGTTATGAATGTATGTTTTCTTATATTGTGTCATTTGTAAATATATTTTATAAGCGTTAGGTAGTTAGGACAAATCGGATGTTTCATTCTCTCTCTTTGACTTTGTGATCACGACTAACATAATAGGTACTATCGAAATATTGTATTATTGTTACAGTGTTTCGTTTCTTTAATTAATTGAAAATAACGA